ACTGATCAATAAGTCCTCAATAAAGGTAAATGTCATTTCAGTATTGTTTATTCTGCATGTCTCATCGTTTTTCTGTGTAGGGAAATGTATATTTCATGTAAAAAATTATTTTGTTTAATACTTTTGGGTGTCTGGAACAGATTAATTGGATTGTCATAATTTCTTAGGGGAAAATTAATTCGGCTAACGAAAAAATCGGTTAAAGACAACCTCTCTGGAACGGATTAATGTCGTTACCCGAGGGTCCCACTGTATGTGAACACATTAGCTTCCTCATCCTCGAAAAGGTTGGGGAGAGGGGGTAAAGGAGGTTCTGTGAGCGAGGGCTTGGACTTCCAGCAAGCATGCATGAGCATGTTTGATAGGAGTGAATGGAGACAAATGGTTTTTTGGGACCTGACGACCTGTTGGAGTGTGAGCAGGGTAATATTTTATGAAGGATTCAGGGAAACCAGTTAGCCAGACTTGAACCCTGGAAATGAGAAGTACAATGCCTACACTTTAAAGGAGGGGTTTGGGATATTGGCAGTTTGGAGGTACAAATAAACTGTCGTATCTGAGCGCTTCTGCAAAGACAGTGATTATGTACGAGCGATGGTGAAAGTGTTGAATGATGATGAAAGTTTTTTCTTTCTTTTGGGTCACCCTGCCTGGTGAGAAACAGCCGCCACGTTAAAAAAAAAATGTTAGCTTTCTTTAATCTCCCTCCCTCCAATCTGATATCCAAACTCTCATTGCCTTGATTTTTGTCACTCTCATCACCTTGCACTTTCTTATGTTCACTTTTAATCTCCTTCTTTTACATACCCTCCCAAATTCCTCCACCACCCTTTGCAACATGTTATTAAAATCTACCAAAAGAGCTGTCATTGGAAAATAACTGTGACAACTCCCACTCTGCATCAGATTTGTAATCACCATGCCTTACAACACTGTATGTCACTATGCTTCTTGAATCTGTAGAACCAGCCTTTGCTGGCCCTAAATTCACTAACAGCAGCACTTGTTCCCAGCATTTTCTTTACAAGGTCCACACGCAACTGCTTTACCTTCTCGCAAATTATCCCCTCCGAAACACTATCTCTCACTAATTGTTTTTGGTTGATCCACACCAACAACAACTTCTCCACATCCTCGATAGTTTGAGACTTCTGTTTTGGTAGCATATTTACACCTTTCGCAACATCAGCTTCCTTGATTTCTGCTTTCTTCAACAGGATAGAACTGATTGTTAATGTAGATTTCCCATACATCCTAGCCACACGTACGCCACTTTCATATTTTGCGATAACTTCTTTCTTGAATTATATTGTGTTTCTCACCTTTACCAAAGGGCTGGCACTCTGAACTTTCTTTGGCCCCATGGTGGCTTATTTCACAATTGCAGTCCATAAACAAACACCAAAAACAACGAATGAACGCACGGAGTATTCCTACCCCAACGAGAGAGATGTGCAGACTGAGTGTGATATGCGTGAGGAAGCGTGTCGACGGTGGGTGGATGTGTCTCATACCAACGATTTCTGAGCGGATGGCCTATATCCGTGGGGGGGGGGGTCGCCGAAAAAAGTGCTTGATTTCCAAATTGGTCAATTTCTGCAACCGGCCCACATTGGGGGGGTCCACTGTACAGGTCTCCCTAACATCTGTTTTTCAGTTTTTCGGGGTTCACCATTCGCGAATTCCCAACCCCAAAATTTCCCACCCAAAAAATTTCCCACCCCCCAAAATCAATTCAAGTTTCCCCACCTGCGAGTCCCTACTACCCCCCCTCCCCCCGACCCCCCCAAGGCAGCCAGCCCTCCCACACTCAGTGGATGAGTTTTTGTTTTTTCATTATTTGCAAAATTAAACACAGTAAAAATAATGTAAAACCCATTCATGACGCTAGGAATGGCTATTTGGACAGTTATTGGACATGACATCATTGTTTACCTTGAACACACCCAAAGAATCAAACATTTCTGCATTTTCAATAAAAACAATAGCAATAAAATAATAAAAATAAACAAAATAAAATATAATTGAAGAAGGAAGTTGTAAAAAAAATTACGAGGGAGGGTTGACACATCGTTTGTGGCTTTTTTTATGTGGAGGACATTGTCTCCCTGCTCTTCCAAACTTTTCAAAAAATTCATTGTGTTTGGTGCTTGTAATTGGGGGACGGAGTGGTAGAGGCAGTGGTTGAGGCAGCGATTGGGAGCTGTTGAGGCAGCGATTGGGCGGGGTTGAGGCAGCTGTTGAGGCAGCTTTTGGGACTTTGAGGCGCGTTGGGGCGTGGGGGCACTTTTGGGGGCTGCTTTTGGGGCAGCAATTGAGGCAGGGGTTGGGGCAGCTGTTGAGGCGTGATTGGGGCAGGGGGTGAGAGCGTTGAGGCAGCGATTGAGGCAGGGGGTGGGCAGTGTTGAGGCACGATTGAACAGGGGGTTTGAGGCGCGATTGGGGCAGGGTTGAGGCAGCTGTTGGGGCAGCTTTGAGGCAGGTTGAGGAGGGGAAAAAGGCAGGGGTTTGAGGCAGCGATTGAGGCAGTGGGTGAGGCAGCTTTTGGGGGCTGCTTTTGAGGCAGCGATTGAGCATTTTTGGGGGCGCTGTTAGGCAGCGTTGAGGCAGGGGGTGGGGCACTTTTGGGGGCAGCGATTGGGGCAGTGGTTTAGGGCGCTGTTGAGGCACGTTGAGGCCGGGGGTGAGGCAGCTTTGAGGCATGGTTGAGGCAGTGTTTGAGGCAGTGGGTGAGGCAGCTTTTGGGGCAGCGATTGAGGCAGTGGGGGGGCGCGTTGAGGCAGCGATTGAGACAGGGGTTAGGCAGCTGTTAGGCAGCATTGAGGCAGGGGTTAGGAGCTGTTGGGGCGCTTTGAGGCGAAATTTGGGGCAGTGGTTGGGGCAGGTTGGGGCAGCTTTGGGGGCGCGGGTGAGGCAGCTGTTGAGGTAGCGATTGAGGCAGGGTTGAGGAGCTGTTGAGGCAGCGATTGGGCAGTGGGTGAGGCACGATTGGGGCAGGGTTTGAGGGCAGCTGTTGGGGCACGATTGGCAGGGTTGAGGCACTATTGAGGCACGATTGAAAAAGTGGGGAGGCAGCATTTTGGGGCATTTTGAGGCAGGTTGAGGCAGTGGTTAGGCGCGGTTGAGGCAGTGGTTTTTAAATAACTCAGTTATTAATATAATAAACATTTTTTTAATAATAGTCTTTTTTATTTAAAAAATATATTTTTAAACCCCTTTGAGGTCGACAGGCCCTCTCCGAGACTCGTCTCAGGTCGCCAATTTAAAAAAAAAAAAAATTATGAAAAAAAAAGAGAAAACTTTTTTCCCGATCATAATGAACCAAAATTAAAAGAAATTTTTATGGAAAACTTAGGAATTAGCTCTCGCGAAAATAGCGGTCTCGGGGATTTTAGCATCGGCGATTTTTGCCCCTTTGAGCCCCATTTTCGGCCAATTTTACTGCACTTCGACAAAAAACAGAATATTTCACTGACTCCATTTTTTTTATCGAAAGAGGCAAGAAACCACCATTTACAAAATAAAGATTTATTGTTATGCAGACACGCATTGTGAAAAAAAAGGGAAACTAATTTGGCACACTTTTAAAAGAATATTAGACTACCCGTTGAGTGTACTGGGGCGCTTGGCAGATTTGTTTAAATTTTGAACTTTTTGGTAAAAATCAACATTTCGCTAAATTTTTATCATTTTAAGGACTTTTCATTGTAAAACCTCAAAACATTTTCAATTTCTGTAATATGTCTTCCCTTCTATAAATGAGCCAAGAAAACAGAAACAACAATAAATACCAACGAAAAAACAGTGCAAAGTTGCTGTTTTTTTCCAAAAAAAGGGCAATTTTTTTTTTCTCATTATGCACTGTTGCTGCGGGTTTTTTTTTATACTGTGACAGGACCACAAGACCCATTCTTTCATATTGGCCTCCCAGCTTTCCCCCACTAGTTTTTGGGGCGTAAAAAATTTTATGCGTACTGTCTAAAAAACCCCTGGTTCGTAACCCGACTAGTAGGGCCAAAAACCCTCAAAGGGGTTAAAATACCACCCCTCAACCACTGAATTTTTGTAAATTTTTGGGAAAGAGCGGGGAAAACAATGCTCCTCCACAAAAAACAAACCCACACGACGATGTTAAACCACTTCCTCGTATTTTGACAAATTTTCCCTTTTTCAGTTATTTGATTATTTTATTTTATTATTATTATTTTTATTATTATTTTTATTACTCTTTTTATTTTAGCAACAGAAATGTTTTGATTCTTTGCTTTTCAAGGTAAAACTGAGCACTGTCCAATACCCCGTCCCAAATAGCCATTCCAATATGAGTCATGAATGGGTTTACTTATTTATACTGTAATTTTTAAAAGCAAATAATGAACAAAAAAAAACACCACCACACGAGTGGTGGGGGGCTGGTGCCCGTTGCGGGGTCGGTGGGGGGGTAAATAGGGGGCCGCATGGTTTTAGGAAGTGGTGGGGGGCATTGGGGAGGCATGGTGGGTCTGTGGTATTAATAAAAACTGTTTTTTAAAACAAAACATTAATATTTTGTACAATTTTCGACGTTTTTTGTTTTTAAAGATTGTTCATGGTTCAAAAAAAGTTAAGGAAGCAGATTGTATTATTTCCCAAATATATTGGGGCACCCAAAAATTCACGGGTTTTTTAACATTCGCGAGGTCTTGATCCCCTACTTTTGCGAATGTTGAGGGGGACCTTATTTGATGGGTTTTGTCTCCACCACCCTTATATAACTTAATTTAACCTGACCTAATGTAACCTAAAGGAAATTCCAGGAAAGGAACTTCTAAACTTTAATCTGTATCTCTTAACTCAGTCTGACCTGTAAGTCAAGAGTTATGACCCAGGTCATTTTGAAGTCACAGTAGAATAGGCATATCCTGGACCATCATAGCTTAGGTGATAAGAGTTTATTCTTTGACAATGTTATATCTGATAGTAACACTCTTGCTATTACAACACTCTAATTCTAGCTTTATATATTGTAATGTTCTATGTATGAACTCTTTTTGAATTTTGCTAATGTGATATTTTGCATTTTAGATGAAGAAAAAGGTGAAGAAAATCGACTACGACTGGGCTACACCCTGTATACTAAATTCTGGTCACTCCAAGACTTCTTCAGAAACCCAGTTCAGTGTTTTCAAAAGGCACCTTGGAAGATGTTCACTGTGGTCAGTAACTACATGATAGAGTTAACACTATACTTTTACATAGCTCACTTTACAGGCTAAGGTTTATTTTCCTGCTCTGGTACATTTTAAAGCCCAGTTCTTTATAAAATATACTATCCTCTCTGGGACTGGATTCATAACAGGCAACTAACACCCATTTACTATTAGGTGACCAAGGGCAACAGGTGTCTTACCATTACGAGAATAAAATCTTGGCACTTGGGGTAGTGAGCTGAGCGCTTTCTCATGGGTATGCTAATGCTGCAGATGTGCAGCATGAATCTTAGTCCCAGTTTTGTTTCTTCAAGTGCCTTCCTTTCTCAACACATTGCTTAATGCTATAATCTTAAGGACACTGACTTGACCTTGGCAATAAATGTTGTACACACACATGCACAATTTTCTCATTGGGTTGTTGCTGTCCTGTGTTCTTGTTGGAGAATGTAATAAATTGTCATTATCCAAGCATCTGCTTGCTGGTAGTTTTATTATTAATTTTTTATTTCAGTATTGTGGAGATGTTTTAGAAGCATTTAGAAGTTTCAAGTTGGATAATGTCCAGAGCAGTGGAAGTGGAGGGGCTCATCTCACTCGTACATTATCTGAGCCGACACATTCGAATGAAAGTTCCAGCTTGCAACCCCAGGTAGGTATCTTTGTTATACAGCAAAACTAATTTTAAAGAAAATCTTCTGTTATCAATTTCCTCATTTTTAAATATTTCTAGGGTCATGTAGGATTGTGAGAGGCTTTTTTTTTTTATTAACAAAACTGGATATACAAGTAGTGTACTGCTACCCTATTCTATGGAGAGTTTACAGCCACATGACCTGAGCCATGGTGGCCTGTATGCTGGTGAGCAAATATGTCATTTTCTTTCAATAATACTGGTCTTCAGTCAAAATGCTTTGCAAATAAAACTAGTCATTCTTTACTATTCTTTGGCCACTGAATGCAGATTTTTTTTTTTTTTTTGTTAACACATCGGCCATTCCCCACCAAGGCAAAGTGGCTGGAAAAAGAAAAACTTTTGCCATCATTCACTCCATCACTATCTTCCCAGAGGTGCACTTACACTACAGTTATAAAACTGCAACATTAACACACCTCTTTCAGAGTGCAGGCACTGTACTTCCCATCTCCAGGACTCAAGTTCGGCCTGCTGGTTTCCCTGAATCCCTTCATAAGTGCTGCCTTGCTCACACTCCAACAGCACGTCAAGTCCTAAAAACCATTTGTCTCCATTCACTCCTAATTAATATGCTCATGCATGCTTGCTAGAAGTCCAAGTCCCTCTCACACAAAACCTCCTTTACCCCCTCCCTCCAGCCTTTCATAGGCCGACATCTACCTCGCCTTCCCTCCACTACAGATTTATACACTATCAAAGTCATTCTATTTTGTTCCAGCCTCTCTACATGTCTGAACCACCTCAACAACCCCTGCTCATCCCTCTGGATAATAATTTTGATAATCCCACACCTCCTCCTAATTTCCAAACTACGAATTCTCTGTATATATTCACACCACATTTTGCCCTCTGACATGACATCTCCATTGTCTCCAGCCTTCTCCTTATTGCAACATTCACCACCCATGCTTTGCATCCATATGAGAGCGTTGGTGTAACTGCACTTTCATACATTCCCCTCTTTGCTTCCATGGACAAAGTTCTTTGTCTCCACAGACTCAGACTCCTCAGTGCACCACTCACCTTTTTCCCCTCATCAATTCTTTGAGTCACTTCATTTTTCATAAACCCATCTGCTGACACATCTGCTCCTAAATATCTGAAGAGATTCACCTCCTCCATACTCTCTCCCTCCAGTCTAATATCCCATCTTTTGTTACCTATTTTTTTTGTTTTCCTCATCACCTTACTCTCTCCTATATTCACTTTTAATTTTCTTCTTTTACATACCCTACCCAACTCATTCACCAACCTCTGCAACTTCTCTTCAGGATCTCCCAAAAGCACAGTGTCATCAGCAAAGAGCAACTATGACAGCTCCCACTTTGTGTTAGATTCTTTATCTTTTAATCCCACACCTCTTGCCAACATCCAAACATTCAGCTGAGCATTCACTTCTCTTCTGAAGGTAATAAAACAAAAATTACAAAATTTGATGGAAAATTGACAAAACTGTGCTCTCGCAAATTTTGCTGCATCAATGATATTTACACATTGGTGATTTTGCCCATTTCGACTCCTATTTTAGGCCAATTACGCTATTCCAATCGACCAAATTCTTAGCTAGTATCACTTCTATTTTATCGATTGAGCACAAGAAACTGCCCAATCAACTATTTCAACTACCCAATCAAGTTATCAGAAATTGGTAATGTGGCCAATTTCACACAAAGTTCATAATATTCCAATTTCGAAGTAGGGTCCAGAATAAACAATGCAGGCATTCCGGCATTGCAGGCATTCCGGTGAGAGTGGCTACTCTCACCGCCGTTGCCCAGCAGTGAGAGTAGCCACTCTCATTGCTGAGGTCCAGGTAATAAACCCTGGAGATTAACATAACATACTAAAATAATATTTCCTCTGTTTATTAGTTATGTTTCCAGGCTTTAAAAATTAATTCCACTTTGATTTTTTATTCACATAATGAATTTTATTCACACCAAAAAATAGAAGATTTACTGTTATGCAATATTGTAATAATTGTATAAATAATATCAGCACATTTGTAAATGCACATTAGACCTGCAAGCTGACGTGTATTGGGGCATGACGTTATTTGTTTACTCTTGAACATCGGCAAAAATTTAAACATTTCTGCTAGTTTGAGCTCACTTCAAGCCATTTTCAGTACTAAAACCAATCAAAACCATCTCCATTTCTGTTATATATCTACCATTCTATCAAGTGAGACCAAGAAACCATGAATACAACCATAAAAATACACCACAAAGTCTCTGTTTTAATAAAAAATCACAGTCTCAGTTTTTTTATCATGCACTGCATGCTGCAGGATTTGTTTTATATGGTGCACACTTACCACATAGATGCATTCTCTCATATCTAGGCCCAGATTTACCACTCACAGCTTATCTGAGTGAGCTGAGCTCATGGCATAGAACTATGGCTTGGACCTTGGCTTCAAAGCCATAGAATTATGGGAATGACCCTCAAAGGGCTAATAACTCTCCTCTCCAACTTTTAACCCTTTCAGTGTCCAAAGGCCAAATTTCAAAGTGCACTAGTGTCCAAGAATTTTGTTATTTTTTCTTATGAAATGGTAGAGAATTTTTTTCTGAAGGTAATAAAACAAAAAGTATGAAATTTGATGGAAAATTGCCGAAATTATGCTCTCGCAAATTTTGATGTGTCAGCGATATTTACGCATCGGCGATTTTGCCGATTTTGACTCCATTTTAGGCCAATTATATTACTCCAGTCGACCAAATTCTTAGCTATTTCACTAGTATACTTCTATTCTATCTATTGAGCACAAGAAATTACCAAGTCAACTGTTTCAACTACAAAATAAAGTGATCAGAATTTGGTAATTTGGCCAATTTAATGCAAAGTTCAAAATATTCTAATTTCAAAATAGGGTCCAGAATAAACAATGCAGACATTCCTGGAACTAAACTAAACATTTTCTCTGTTCATTAGGTACATTTTCAGGCTTTACAAATGAATTCCATTTTTATTTTTTATTCACATAATGAATTTTTATTCAAACCAGAAAATAGGAGATTTACTGTTAAGCAATACTGTAATAATTGTATAAATGATATCACCACATTTGTAAACATATATTAGACCCACCAGCTGTCATGTATTAGACTTGTGAGCTCATTTGTTTACTCTTGAACGTCGGGGAAAATTTAACATTTCTGCTATTTTGAGCTCAGTTTCAACCCATTTCCATTATTAAAACCAATCAAAATCATCTCTATTTCAGTAATATATCTTCCATTCTATCAAATGAGACCAAGAAATCGCAAATACAACTATAAAAAACATACGAAAAAGCACTGCAAAGTCGCTATTTTAATAAAAAATTATGGTCTCAGTTTTTTTCTCATCATGCACTGTGCTGCAGGACTTGTTTTATGTGGTGCACACATACCACATAGATGTATTCTCTCATATCTAGGCCCAAATTTACCACTCACAGCTTATCAGAGTGAGCTGAGCTCATGGCGTAGATCTTCGGCATGGACCCCTCAAAGGGTTAACTGTCAAATCCATTCATTCCCTAGGCTTCCTCAACTTATTAATCTCACTCCAAAAATGATGCTTAAAATTGCAATTGCTTCTATGTATAAGTATATGACTCGGGCCAGTTGGTGTTATCATTAACCCAGGAAAGGGGATGGTACAGGGTAAAGGTTCTTAATTCAAATCCACATTGCAAAATTTTTCAAACTTTGCATGTAATTTCTTATAGCCTCAATGAGTAATTGTTTAAAAAATACATTCAATTTCCTTTTGCCAGTCGATTATTATTTTTTTTCAACAAACTGGCTACATCCCACTGAGGCAGGGTGACCCAAAAATAAAAATAAAAGCTTTCCTTTTCAAATTTAGTAATTTATACAGAAAGGGTTACTAGCCCCTTGCTCCCAGTATTTTAGTCACCTCTTACAACATGCATAGTTTATGGAGGAAGAATTTTCCACTTTTTGATTGTTATTATGGTCATATGAATTTTTTCAGTACCCCAAAAACCATAAAGTGAAGTATTTTTTTCTCTGAAGCACAAAATTTTTCAAGATTTGTTGACCAGTGTTATCATAAGGTGTTTAAAAGCAAAACTTCTAAAGTGTTATTCCATACAGATGGCATTAGTGTGTACATAGTTTCATTATTATGTAGTACTGCCATAACTAAGCCTACATATATTAAACTAGAGACAGGTATTCTTGTTACCTACTGTAAATATCCTGAGGACTCGGTGTAACATACGTTTGGAGACTAGAGACAGATCTACTTACAGTATTGTCAAAGGGATTAAAGTTAAAGTTTTGTGGATTTCTTGTCACATAGGCTTCCAGGAGCACGAGAAACTCAGATTCCTTTATAAATGTGTTCTAAATTCTTTTGAATATAATTTTGGTTTCTCAGATGGAAGTCAAAAAACTATTGTTCCCTCAAGGACAGTTCTTCAGTTGCAGTGAGGGGCTTTCAGTCTAAGAAATTGGCATTCCAAAGAGCCACAAAACCCAATAAGGTGTTATTAAGCAATGTGGGTAGCTACTGTAATTGCATATTTTCATGTACTTTTTATTACTATTTTACTCTCAATGTTATTCTCTTTGTTACAGGTGGACCAGTATTTTGCAAAGTACTTAACAAACCAGAAGTTGCTCGACCTTCAGTTTTCAGATACAAATTTCCGTCGTTATGTTTTACTGCAGATCTTAATCTTGGCTCAGTACTTGACCTCCAATATCAAGTTTAAACAGTAAGAATTTTTTTTACTATTTTGGCTCTGCTGGTAGTTAGTATAATCAGTTGATTGCCATCATAAGAATAAGTAATGTAGATTAAGTTTCAAAATTGAGGTTGAATAATTCACCACCCTTTCAGTATCGGCACCCCTGCTTGCAAACTTTCTCTCAGGGTCAAAGAATTAAAAAAAAAAAATTTCTTATGAAATGATACAGAATCTTTTTTCCAAAAATAATGAAACTAAAAGTACAAAATTTGATGAAAAACTTACAGAATTATGCTCTCACAAAGTTAGCAGTCTAGGCAATATTGACGCACTGGTGATTTTGCCCACTTTAAGCCCTGTTTTGGACCAATTCCATTTTTCCAGTTACCAAAGTCATAGCTATTTTGCTAGTACTTCTTTTATTCTATTGACTGAGTACAAGAAACCACTCATTTACCTATTTCAACTACCTAATAAAGTGATCAGAAATTGGTAATTTGGCCAATTTCACACAAAATTCAAGAAAGGCTAATTTCAAAATAGGGTCCAGAATAAACAATACATTCATTCCTGGCACTAAAATAACATTTTCTCTGTTCATTAGTCATGTCTCCAGGTCCCTCTTTCCATTTTGAATTTTTATTCACACAAAAAATAGATTTACTGTTATGCAGACTAATTCACTATTGTAATAATTGTATAAACAATATCAGTGCATTTGTGATCACACATTAGACTCATCAGTTGACATGTATTGGATGTGTGACGTGATTTGTTTACTCTTGAACATAGGCAGAAATTTAACATTTCTGCTACTTTGAGCTCATTTTCAAGCTACTTTCAGTATCAAAACTAATCAAAATTATCTCTATTTCTGTAATATATCTTTCATTCTATCAAATGAGATCAAGAAAATGAGAATACAACCGTAAAATCCATAAGAAAATACACTGCAAAGTCATTGTTTACTTCCAAAAACTTGGTCCCAGTTTTTTTTCTCATTATGCACTGAGTGCTGCAGGATTTTTTTATATGGTACACACTTACCACATATAGACCCATTCTCTCATATCTAGGTCTAAATTTACCATCCACAGCTTATCTGAGTGAGCTGAGCTCATGGCGTCATATTGCAGAATCGACACTGGTTTCAAAGCCATGATATAATGGGACCGACACCAAAAGGGTTAACCTGCAATTTGGAGGGGAAATTTTAGACAGTGTTATAGTCAGTCTTCAATCATTGTCACAATCAGTGTAATGCGTATGTACAGTATTAAAGACACAGGCTTTAGGTAAGCTTCTTTATTTTTTAACCCTTTCACTGTTATTGATGCCAGGGTCTGTCACATAGTTCTACATCATGAGCTCAGCTCATTCAGATAAGTTTCTTCTTCTTTCAACAAACCGGCCATATCCCACCGATGCAAGGTGGGATACGCATGGCTTACAGAGGAAGAATTCTGTTCCTCTTCCTCATGCAGATAAGAGGAAATAAACAAGAACAAGAACTAGTAAGGAAATAGAAGAAAACCCAGAGGGGTATAAATATATATGCTTGTACATAAATGTGTAGTGTGACCTAAGTGTAAGTAGAAGTAGCATGTTTCTTTCTTTCTTTCAACACACCGGCCGTATCCTACCGAGGTGGGGTGGCCCAAAAGGAAAAACGAAAGTTTCTCCTTTTACATTTAGTGATATATACACGAGAAGAGGTTACTAGCCCCTTGCTCCCGGTATTTTAGTCGCCTCTTACAACATGCATGGCTTACGGAGGAAGAATTCTGTTCCATTTCCCCATGGAGGTAAGAGGAAATAAACAAGAATAAGAACTAGAAAGAAAATAGAAGAAAACCCAGGGGGGTGTGTGTATATATATTTTTGTACATGTATGTGTATTGTGACCTAAGTGTAAGTAGAAGTAGCAAGACATACCTGAAATCTTGCATGTTTATGAGACAGAAAAAAAGACCCCACACCCTACCATCATGAAAAAAACAATTACAGGCTGCCTTTTTTACACTATTTGGCGGGAAACAGAGTACCCCCCCTGGGGGGTTTGGGCTATAAACCAACCTATCCCTTGGATTCAGTAAGCTGTGAGCTGTAAATTTTGGCCTAGATAGGAGAAAATAAAGTCTGTGCGGGGGGAGTGTGAAACAGAATTAAAAAACCCTTTGCCCCCTTAGTGCATGATAGGTAAAGCAAAACCCCTGATCAAATTTTTTTTTTTAACCCTTTCAGGGTCCGTCCCGTAATCAGGGTGGTCAGGGGAGTGTCCAAACCGAGATCTACCCCAAAAAATTTTAGCCCCGTAAAATTTTAGGGCGAAAGCGCTCTTAGGCCTAAAAGTGGGGAAGGGGGCCCCTCGCCGTGGGTGTGCCCCAAATAAACAAAAAATCTAGGCGCCTGCATAGCATTGGGGGAACGCCGGCTCGGGTAAACCCTTGTTAACCAGGGCCTCGTCGAAAGTCACTTCCACCCCCCGGAAATTTTTGGGACCTCCTTTTTCCTGTCTGTTTTTCTGACACGAGGGGAAGGGGAAATGAAAAACGAATTTTTGGCTTTAAATAATTTAGTGACCGAAAAAAAATGACCAGGATATCGATAAAAGTGCAAAAAAACCCCACGATCCTCGCCCTTTCTCCCTCGGGTTTTGGGAAACCCGTGACTAAAAGGGTTTCCGGGTTTCCAAAACGAAAGAAGAAAACTAATTTTCCCCCTTTGGCCCTTTGGCCCTTGACTTCAGTAATGACGATGTTTTCTGACGGGATTGTGATTTTTTTTGCGCTCGACTTAATTCGGTAGTGTTTATGGGGAAAAACATATTCACCGGGGAAGCGCCCTTTTGGGTTCCCGCCGAGGGCGCTCGGGTTTTGGAAAACCCTATGCTTTGCCCAAGGGGAGGGTACATCCCGGATCCCACCCCGGGAGAAACATCCCGGGGGGCCCTCCCCTTTTTTTTAGGTAGTGATAGTGAGGATTTTGTGGTACATTTGGCTTTGGATGGGCCCGGGATCAGTGGTGGTTTAGGGGGGCTGGGGGGTGGTATTTGGCACCGCATGCGTGATCACTTGCCACGGGGGGGAACCCACGTTTGGGGGACTCGTCAGTTAAAAGGGGAAAAAGCGGAGCGTTCCCCCCAGGCCCCCCCCAAAACCACCCGAAAAACCCAGCCTATATGCCCAGTCCACCAAAAAAAACGATCGGGGTTTGGCAGAAAAATCCCCAATTTTTTTCCCCACCCCCAACCACTTTGATGACTCTAAAAGGGGAAATTTTCTACCTCCCTGTCCCCTGGAACCACAGCCAAGAACTGGAATTCTTTGAATTATTCTTTGACCAGCCATTGATGGAAATTTTGGGTCGGGGAAAGTAATAAGTTTTTTTCAGTCCCACCTTTGGCAAATACGATCTTACCACACATTTAAAGCCCTACACAGGGGGAAAAGAGACGAGTTGCAGAAATGTATTTGTTTTTTTTGGAAACAATAATGCTTATGCCTCACTTTCTATAAGCAAAATATAAAAGCTTTTGGTTTCCACGGGATTGGCAAATTTGTCCCCCACCTTCAGTGAAAAAATACCAGTAAAACAGGTTTTTTTTAAATTTAAAAGGGTATTTCACTTCTCTGACAAAACCAGGCCTGACGAATTGACTTTTTAAATAAAGATTAGAAATTTTTTAGTATCTCAAACAAAATTTTCGGATATACTTTTATCCATTCAAGAAACCCTTTTAATTGACGAGTCTTTGATTTTGTTTAAAGGTAGCCCGCCCTTCAAAACAGAAAATACTGAGGGAAGAGGAAACCCCCCTTTGGGATAAAATTGTTTGTACTCTGTGATTGTGGGCAGTTGGGGCCCGGTGTTGGAAATTGTTTTATACACGGGAAGTAAAACATTTTAAAGTACCAAAATTTATTGGGTATATCAGGGGGACGTTAAATTGGAAAAAACATGGGTGGCACCCTTTTTGGTAAAAGGGGCCCAAAATTTTATAACCCATAACTGGTAAAACAAGCCCATTCTCAGTGTTTTTATTTCGAAATGAACAAGACAGATTGTGGGGGAACCCGTGGGATTCTAAAACGAAAAAATATGCCCAGGGGTCAAAAGCAGGTGTTCGTGGTTTTTGGCGTGCGGTGGGTTTTCTGCCAAAGACCCTCATGGCATTTTCGGTGGCATGACAAACGAGATGTCACAATTTTTTACAAAACCCTTCACCGTAATGGAAAAGCCAAAAAAGTTGGGAAAGTTTTTAAAGTGACTAATGAACGTAATTTGAAAACCAGTTTAAAAGTGATTGATTATACAAAAAACATGCTCTTGGGGTTAAAAAGGGGTGACCTGCCCGAATTGGGTTTTTTTGACTGTGTATTTTAAAGGTTTCAAGTGGTACAGAAACTTTTCTTCCAATTTTCCCTGGACATTTTAATGCTGAATTGGGGGGGAATTTAAAATGTCCAAATAAAAAAACTGGTAACAGACCCCGTATGGTGAATTTTTTTTTGTTGTTTTTCAGACAATTTTAAAAATGAAGTACCAGGGTTTAAAAACACCTGCAATCAACATGGTCCTCGAATTCTTTACAATATACCCAAGCGTTTGGGGGAGAGAAGGGGATATTTATAATACAGTTTCCCTTTAACTCAAAAGAATTTGTCAGAAGAATGCATTGTCTGTGCACAAACAAAAAGACGGCCCAAAAAAAGACGCAAAAGAAAACTCGGTTTATGTGTAGGAAAGTAAGGTGCCTCTGTGCATGGTGCCTTGTTTCAAGGGGTTCCCCAAGCTCCAGCAGTTCTAAAACCATGTCCAATGATTGTAAATATGTAAATATATGATAGAACATTAGTATTATACAAGATTTGTGCATGTTTATTGTAATAAACAACAGTGGTAAACAATAATATGATAATAACTTTAGTGCAGTTATTGTGTTCAATACAGTGAGTATATATATATCAATTATATACAGTATTGGTCTCTCAGGCCCCAAATGTTAGTAGGAATAGAAAAAAATTGGAAAAGAAAAGAAAAAAC